TAAGTATTTTCCTTGTTTCCTAAACTTTCCTTTGTACTTTGGTTTTCATGGTTTTCTAAATGTTTTATATCGTCTTGGTCTATATCGTTTATTAGACTTATTGTATTTATAATATTTCTTCTTTCTATATGGGTTATAACAACCAAATTCTTGAGGTACACTTTCTAATTGCTTGCAACATCTTGGATTGATTTTAGTCATTTCATGATGTTCTAATTTTCTTATACAAAGTTCATCCCTATATTCTTTTGCATATTTTTCTAAAATTCCTAGAGTTTTTTCTTCCTTTGTTTTCACTAATTTTCTCTGAATATATTTATTCATTTCATATTTAAGTTTACTTTCAACTATTTCTATTAATCCTGATCGATCTTTAATTTTATAGAAATTTTCTCTTACTTGACAGAAAAAATTTTCTATGTAGCATATATTACATAGCTTCATATTTGTTAGAAATCTGACTACCTTATCTTTTTGTGTTTCTTTTGATTCTTGTCCTGTAATTCCTAAAAATTCTTTTAACAAATCTTTTGCTAATTCTTTTAAAGCTCCTATTTTATATTCTAGTCATATTTTTGAACCGTTAGCTTCAAGATTTAATAATATTTGAGTATTTTCTAGATAATCAAATAATACTCCAGATGTTTTATATCTTATATAATTAACATAATCGATTAATGTCATTCAATTTATCATTGAATCATTAGTTTGAACAAAAATTATATTGATTAGTCCAGGTGACTATTAGATCTTCTGCATTAGTTGTACAATCTATATTTAATATTCCGTTAGATAAATTTCTTTCTTTTTCTAAATATGCTGGTGGAATATATTTCTTTATTTTTTCTTGATGATAACTATAATAATTTCTATATATAAATCTCTAAAACGACTTTCTACATAATTATTTTGTGAAGTAGATGCTTCATTATTATTTGTTCTTGGTCGTTTTGGTGATAATGGTGGTGTTGTATGAGGTTTTTGGTCAGTCATATTAAATGTTGGTTCATCTTCATCTCACTATCTATCCCATAGATTATTCCTTGTTTATCCTCATCATCTATTTTTGCCATTCTAGTTTCTTTAATATTACATTTTTCTAATAACTGAGTTAGCTTATCTATATCATCCATGAGAGCTTGTTGGTGGCTCTATCTGAATTGGTTTAAATAATTTTTTCCGTAATTTTTCTTTTTGTACTAAATTATGTAATTCTTTTATTATTTCTTTTATTTTGTCTAATTTTTCGAATATTTCTAATTGGGTCCTTTTTATTATTTTTATAAATGTTCCTATTTGTTCTGTCATTTTTGGTGGATCACTCATAATATTTTTTTTTTTTTTTTTGTTTTAAGTAGTAATTTCTTCTAAGTGTTTTATTTTGGTTTTGTCTATAGCAATTTATAGTGTGCTTTTAGCACTTGAATAGTTAAAATATGGCCACATGTTCTATTTCTATTGGTGGATGCTAAAGATGGGTAGTATCCATACGGTTAGCATGAAATATTTCCCAAACCCACCCATATGAATAGGAGAGATACGTAAGGGTTTGGGTCTCTGCATAGTTTGGCATAAAAAATTTCAGATCCAGAAACTATACGGCTCCCAATACACAGAGAAAACCAGCAGGAAGCGTTCGGCAATCTAAGACCCTACTCCCGTTTTCAATTCTAACGACACCTTCGTAAGTGTGCGTGTACGATTGATATTTTTTTGTTCTTTGTCAATGTGTGTGTTGCAGGTTATGGGGTCTCAATTTATGTTCTTGTGCAGACGCAGAGCAAGATAGCAGTAATGGGGTCTCAATTTGATGTCGAAAGGGCAAAAGGATGTATCGGGCAGCCGCGACTGGATGTACTGAGTGATGAATCATCAAGACGGCTTGTGATGAGAGATCTCAATACCCAGTTTGCGAGGTCTCTTACTGCTTATATCTTTTCACTCACTCATTCGTATTATTTGTTTTTTTTAATTATTAATGCTTGGAGACTGATTTTGCTAGTTATTTGAGTTTCTCGAGTTAGCTGGAGTGATTGTGTGCTTCGTTCTGGGGTGGACTGCATAAATTTTGGTTCAAATTACTGAACTGTGGCCATCAGTTTTGTGTAATGCTTGTACTTTGTGTTGACCCCAGCTTATCTTAGATGGATGAATTGTTTGTAGCAGGGTGGAGTTGCGAACACTGAAATTTTCTGTGCTGGGTTGACCTCAGTAATTTGACACTGTCATGCTTGAGTTGGCAAAAAGTTTCCTGTTCCTAAGATCGTGTCTTTATGTTTAACTGGAATGCTGTTGGCAGTACCACAAGTTTGAAAGTCAGATACTGTAAAATCTGAGGTTTATTTGTGTCAGTTCATATTCTTTTGCTTGCTTTCTCTGCTATGTTATGTGTCATAGATTGGAAGTTTGTGAGTACTCTGATTTATATCCATGCATGCCCGAGATGTGCTGTAGTAGTGTAGTGGACTTCTTCTATTTCCTTTCTGACATGGTTACATTTGCTTGGTAATGTTATGAACTCTTACATGATCAGTTGGATACAAAGTCAATTACAAAACCATCCAGATGAGCTTTGGGAGGATGGAGTGCAGGATTTCTTAAACCGTGCTAAAAACGTCATTGTAATTTCTCAGTCATCTAGTGCGCCATTCGGCTGTGATGAAGTCATCCTGGGGGTCATTTCTATAGTTTTTAGTTGTTATATGGGAATATTTTGTGATTACAAGGATGTCGACCTGACATTATTTGGTGAACTTTTTTGTTTATGCTAAGTACTTGGCAATCTCATTATCCTTCGGCCATTTTGTTTTGATGTAAAAGAGCATGCGGCAGACATTGATTGTGACTCTTGGCCAGCATTTGGTGCTATTCATATTAAACATATATTTTTCACAAAAAGCTCTTGTAAAGTATGTTGTTGAAATTTTAAACAAACATTATTAAATTTAACTATTAGTACTACTAGACGCCATAAAAATACTGACCGTGCCATCGGGATTGTCTTATCCGATGTAAATCCTTTAGGGGATGTTTAGATGTATAAATATATATATATATATATATATATATATAGATTCTTTTTTTGGTTTTGATTGGATTTTTGCGTTTGGTATGGTTAATTTTGAAAAAAGTGGAATGGTTAGTTGTCAGTGTAATTTTTGAGTTTATATTAGAATAATATTTAAAATAAAATAATTAAAGTTGATTTGATGTAAAAGTAGGAGAGAGGTGATATGAAGTGATGGTTAGTTAAAATTATGTGAGTGGATAAATAGTGAAGTAAGGTTGATGTAATATGTAAGAATGATTGATTGATATTATTTAATTATATTGATAATATTGAGGATAGTGGAGTCGAGTTAAAGTTGAGTTAGATTTGAGTTAAAATGAGTGATTGGTTAAAAATGATTGGATGTTTTTAGATAAATTTGTATCCAAGCATCCCCTTAAATCACTACCACTATTTGTTGAGTAGTTTTTGAAAGTGGCTCCGTCAGTTATTCATGTGTTATCAAATGATTGATTATATGAGAGGTGTATAATGCTTTCTACTGGAAGTGCGAAGGCCCACCGCATGTAGTGGCCTGAGTAAAATCTCTCTCTCTCTCTCTCTCTCTCTCTCTCTGTGTCTCTATCTATCTCTCTCATCCTCTCTGTATCCAACCTCTATCTAGGAGCAGATTTTTAGATTAATAAATTAATCATTATTTTTGGCATCCCTTTCACTGATACATCCTAATGAGTGAGGAGACAAATTTTGAGGACTTAAATTTTTGGGTGCAAAAGTAACTTTCTGTAGTTTACTGTTAGTGTACTGACTTGTTGTCTTCAATTGTAGGAGATTTATGGTGGTGTTGTTAAACGGTTGAGAACAAATGCCGTGGAACGAGGGGGTATAGCCAATATTCCATCTGAAGATGCTCAGACAGCGCCTCTATTCGGAACTGACAAAAGAAGTCTTGCACTGTTTCGAGCCACACCTGGTCGGACACTTTTGTACAAACCTCTGTTTCCTGCAGCCATGACAGCAAGCTCTGGAACCCCATGGAGACCTGCACTTCTCTTTAATAATAAGGGCCCTTTCACATTTGGAGGTATTATTTCAATTTAATTGATGGAATGTTTATATACATATATATATATTTATATTCACTATGTAGCGTGTATCTACTGCATGCAATAAATATTCATTACAAGATTTGATTTATGTGTTTGCAAGTTATTCAAGTATGAATATGGTCCCAATTAGAATATTTACGGAGTAGCTACCATAGTCGCTCTAATTCATAATATCTTAAGTCTCTTTTTGTCTCATTAGTTCGCTCTAATTCATGATATCTTAAGTCTCTTTTTGTAGGACTCCCACTGCATACTGGGTTCCCTTATGTGGGTGATTTAACAATGCTTCTTTCCATTCAATAAAAGAATTCTGTACTGTTTTTTTTTTTTTTTTTTTTTTTTCTATCAATAAATGATGTTAGTTCAGTTAGAGTGTACTTAAATTCTATACTTTGGTTCTTTACCCTTTATAATTGACGATGTGTTTGAAAACTGTGATCATCTTGCTTAATTTTGGATACTGTTTTGTGCTCATGGTCTCCAGTAAGTGAGGTTTCAGTTCCTGGAATTGGAAATGCCAATGCTGTTACTTCAAATGAACCTGATGGAGGTAAGGGGTGATAAGGTCTTTATGATTAAATGATTAGTCAATAAAGCTGTTAATTCTCTGGTTAATCTATCACGGCATATGTCCACTTTATGATCATCCGTATTATAAGGTTTGAATGCTTGTTGCGTTTTTAATCAAGTTATGATTTGCTTGCATTTCCGTGTGAAATTAATTTCAAGAGCTCAATGCCTATGTCCACAATACAAAATCCTCCTAGAATGACCTCAAATTGTGAGTTTAGGATGGAGATTCCTTGTAGAATGTCCCGAAAAATTGAAGTGGTTCACCAATCTTAACAAGGACTTATTTAATGTGCATTAATACTTTGTAGAGAGCCAAAGCATCAGGGTAACAAAGACGATGGTGACGGACCCGACTCTCGACGACGATAGGTGGGGATTGTTTGTAAAGTACAAGCGCAAGTTTTGGTTCGAAGAGAAGGATTATGACGTCCCTGAATCCTATTTCTACCAGAACGGCGAGGAGATTCAGCCCAATACCATCGAGCTGGTCAAGAGATTCCTCAAACAAGTCCGCGAATCCAGGGTATCTATCTATCCCTAAAATCCTTCTCCTTCTCTGTCCCCGTACTGATTCTACTGGTGGTGGTGGTGGTTTTTTTTTTTTTTTTGTTGAAATCCGGTTGTTTATAATTAGGGTTTTGCTCGCCTAATGGGTCCTTTTTTTTCATCCTTAATTTAATGTGTTTGGGGCGCTCTGATTTGCTGCATCTGGCTTATATACTCGTTAATTTTGTTTAATTATATATTTTATGTTGGGTTGTCTTATTTTGTTTTGTTTTGTTGTTTGTTTTTTCTCAAATCAGGTTTATGCTTTGTTTGCTATGTGGTACATGGATGTGTGTGTATTAGCTGTTAGCTGATGCAGAATTTGAGAGTTGATGTAAAAAATCCTGATTTTGAACTATAGCAGTATTGCTTTTGATTGTCATTTGTCACTTATATTATGATTGTTAATTCTAGTGTATTTTATTAGTGAACAAGCATCAAAACTACTTGCAAGGCTCTGTTGTTTGATTGAAATGGATGATGAGCTGCTTGTGATTTTTGTAGGGTTATGACGTGGATTGCTGCCCACCTCGTATGTTTGAAAATCCATTCTTACCACTTCCACTGGAAGAGATGCGCAAGGGGACAAGAGATATTGATAAATTCGGGTATGCTAGAGTTGTCGAAGCAGCTGAGTGTGCAATTCAGAAAATCAGTGAAGAGACTGTGCGTTTCTGATCTGTCCTTAATATATTTTGCTTTGTAATGTTATCACCTCAAATCATGAACATCATACTAGCCTTGTTTTGCTTATTTTTTTATTGTCTACTAAAAATCCAAATTACAACAACAGAGTCACAGTTATAAGCTTGTGCAAGTCGAGAAGGCTGTCGAGACCGCTGCCTCGGTGTTATTCATGACTTTGACTGCCGAGGAAGAAGATGGTGGCTCTGAGAAAACTATTCAAGCCGCGGTCTACCACCCACTTGGTGGCTCTCCAGTCCTTCGAGAGTGGAGGTTCAAACCAATCACGGCTCATTGACATTGTTGTCAACTTTAAGGTTTAGTTGTAGTTGTCCACCTATCCCTATGCTTATATAAATCTGAATGTTGGTAGTATCTATTATGTTAGTTATCCATGAATTTAGACTTGACTTGAGATTTATGTGGCTATTTGTAATCAGTTACTGGTAGCTAATGCATGTGATGGAGCTGTCACTTGTTATTCTCTTGTTTTTGTCTTTTCTCTGAATCTGTTGAATTTATGGTGCTTTTGCTTTTTGTTCTTGATTTATGGAGCTGTCACAAAATTTTGGGACTTTTCTTTTTGTTTTTTGAAATATTGCAATGAGAATCTCCATAGTTAATCGAATAATCTAAGTATAAGGTCGTGCAGTGATGTTATGATTTTAGCTCTTTCACAATATAGTTTATTTAGAGTAGCATTTCATGTACATAAATTTATATAAATAGTGGCGCTCATAACTTCACATAGATTAGTTCTCACTTCATAAAATATCTCCGTCCGACTAGTTCTGGGTTCGAATTCCGGGCAACCCATTGTCATATCGATAAGTAACACACTATATATGTGGTGGGCTCGCTTCATAAAATATATAAGTAAAATACTCAATATGTGGTTGGCTCGGTTCATAAAATATTTAAATGAAAAATACAATATTACATGACTATAAAGTATAAAGGCACCATTAGGTGCATGAAATTTTAAATTATGTACAAGTAAAATGATCGATTGAATAGATATTATGTGCATAATTGAAATGACATATTGTTTTAATGTGTTTTTATTGATTTACATTCATTTTATGTTATATTTTTCCAGGTGATTGAATTATTATTTCGTTAATGAGCCGCTGGATGATAAAAATGAAGATATGGATACAAAACAAAATAAATAGTATAGGCATATAGCACACAAATAGAAACACAAGCTTGGTCTCAATTAGTAGTTGATTAATATTTTAGCTTAATTCTCGTAATATTTTGAAGTTTGTATAATAATTTGAACAAGACCTAAATAGCACTAATTGCAATTGACATACGTGTGAACTGTGGAAAGATGGGCTAAGAGGCTTCGAATTGGGCCACATCTACTTGCAAAACAAGTAGTTATGGATTGTAACTTGTATCTAATACTTTGGGAATAAAGCTTTATAGATATGTTTTCTATACAGATTACACACATATGGGACCCCTTTTGTAATTGGGCCCTGGGCCATCGCTTAAGTCGCTCTGGGCCGGGTCTGATCCAAGTAAATTAAAGGGTAAAATATACATAACCCCCTTGTATCATACGAAATCTGCGCGTTTTCCCCTGATATTTCAAAAATTGCGTCAAACCCTCTTGTATTAACTAACTGTTGCACGATTCCCCCCTCTCCGTCCAACTTGACAGCGCGTGGTGTACACATTCATGTAATGCGAAAATTATTCATTTTTCCAAACATTTTTTATTTTAAAATCGAAGTTTACTATTTTGCCCCTTACTATTCTACCCATTATTAGGCAAAAATAAATGTTTTGTTGCTCCTTCCAGGATTCGAACCAGGCCAAAACAACATTGGACATGCCTTCAAACCACTCTACCACCATCCCCCTGTAATACATATCTAACACACATATATAAAACAACACGAACAGAGAAAAACTTAATCAAATAAAAAATAATATAATCACAAACTAAAGTAATTATAAACAAAATATAAATAGAATAAAATAAAAATTAAATTAAATGAAATTAAATGTGAAAATTTTGAAAATAATAAATAAATATATTACTATTTAATAAAAATAAAATGTTAATTTTATTTAAATAAATTAAATATATATATAAAATCAATTTTGATATAAAATTCAAATATACGTTTTGAATTGAAGTAGTATAATATATATTAATTTACTATATAAATAAAAATAGACTAATTTATTTATTTATAATAAAATGAAATGATAGTTCTATATATAAATATATTATTAAAGTATTAATTTGTAAATAAAATATTTTGTATTCAATATATATATATATATATATATGATTTGTATTTATTTATTTTATTAAGTTTTTATATTATTTTATATTTTTTTAAATGTCTGACAAATATATAAATTCTATTTTTCAATAATATTATTATTATTTAAATTTTAGTAAATAGTTTATGTACTTATTATTTATTCATTTTATTTATTTACATTCTGGTAAATATATAATAATTAAAAAATTCTATTTATAATTCAAAAAACTATTAATTAAAATATCAAGTATCATTTGTTATGAGCTTTGAGTATCATAAATAATTTTTGGTTATTTTATTTATTTAAATCTGAATAAATATAAAATTTTATAAAATTATAAATCTAATTTATAATTTAGAATCTCTTTATTTGGTTATTATATTATTTATAATTTTAAATCTATTTACTCAATCATTATATTATTATAATATATAATCTATTTACTTAATTATTATATTATACGATAATTTAAAATATATTTATTCAATTACTATATTATTTATAATATAGAATATATTTACTCCATTATTATAAAATATATATACTGAATTATTATATTACTTATAATTTATAATTATCATTATATTATTTATAATATATAATCTATTTATTCAATCACTATATTATTTATAATATAGAATATAATTACTTAATTATTATATTACTTATTATTTAGAATGTATTTACTTAATTCTTATATTATTTATAATTTAGAATATAGTTACTTGATTTTCATACCGAACCGGACCGAAATGGTCCCGTTCCGAAAAATAACGTTCCGAAAGATTCTCTCTATTTTTGTCCGGTTCCCGGTACCTAACCGTTTTAAACAATGTCGATACGTTTTTAATATTTTTGTCCCGAACTGTCCCGTTTGTCCCGTTTCATTTTTTTCGTACAAAATATTATATACATATATGTCTATATATATTATACATTATTATTATATTTTATATTAGTATTATAGTACCAGTTAGTTAATTAAATTAACAATATGCCATTTTGGTATTCAATCTATAATAGAATTCTAACTTTGTAAATAACATAAAAAAAAAAAAACAAAAAAACAAAAGCTCAGTTGTCCAAGCTAAAACTAAACAATCAAGCCCAAAAAGGAAAAAAAAAAAACAAAAAAAAAAAAGAAGAAGAATAAACAATGCATTTGGTGAGTGGTGACTTAAATATAATGGATGAGTATGTTACTTATAATGAAATCAATACTCTTTGGTAATTTGGTCTAAGTGAATACTTGAATCTCTGTGTTTTTTTTTTAATCGAATCATGAAATCAACATGTTGGTTGTTTGTTTTAAATTTTAATAGAATCAATACTCTTTGGTTTAGTTTATATGTTTGTCCCGTTTTGTCCCGGTCCCAAACGATACCGGCTCATTTGGGACCGTGCCTCATCCTGGACCGTTATCGGACCGGTTCATTAAAGTGGGATCGGTTCCGGGACCAGACTGCGCCCACCCCTAGGGTCAGTTTGGTTGACATGATAGGGAGTGATATCAAACTATTTAGTATATTATCCATCCTTTTGACATGTTTGGTTTGCAACCATTAAGACCTGAAAATAACTCTTGCCTCTTGGCATATCCATTAACTTGTTTATACCGTATCCCACAAATTTTGTTGGGAAAAAAATCTTTTTCAACCCAATACAAAGATACATTAAGTTTTTCACACCACCCACTAACAATCAAGCTTTTTCACCCCGGAAAGTGCGAAGGTTATGCGAATGGACTGCATAACTATCGCATATCAATTTCATAACTGTCGCATATTCATCGCCCAATGCCTTCGCACTTTAACTTTTTCCACCCCAGAAAGTGCGAAGGAATCTTCGAATGCCTTTGCACTTCTAACTTTCGCACAATGTCATCGCGTAACTATCGTATATTCATCGCATAATGCCTTTCGCACTTTTTGGGGTAAAAACTTAGCTTTTTATTGGGCGGTGTGAAAAACTTAGCCGGACTTCAAAATGGGGTTAAAATAACTATTTTCACATTTTGTTGGATACACTATCATGTTGAGCTCATAAGCCTATGTTACACAAATGTCCCCAAGCTACTTTTCCACCAAGCTTGTAGTTCTTTATGAAATAGAAGTATGGGATATGGTGAACTCGGTGGTCCGTCGAGACAAGAGCTGTGAGGTCTGCTGGGGATTGGGTGTGAAGAAGGTGCCGGAACTGGAATTGTCGACCGCGAGCCACAACATCATTCAACCACCTTCCCAACACCTCTGTTCTCCAATAGGTAGTTGTTCATAGATAATTTTTGTTCTTCGCAAAAGACCTTTGGAAATCCTTTTGTTTTCATTTAATTTAACTCGAATTAGAACCCCGAAATCCAAATTTCCGTCGTTGCTCTCTGCTTTATTTTTGAATTTCGCAAATGAAATGGGAGATGGAGGTAGATGAAATGGAAGTTGGGCATGAGAAGATTTCGGATCTGCATAGCTTAGCAACGTCATAGTTCATACACTCGATTTAATTGGGATCACTATTGGTGTTGGCCAGTTCAATTTTGTGTTAGATATGTCAATGTTTTTCTTGGGGTTCATGAAGTTGTGTGCATCGGCCAGTTCGATTTATGGATGCACTTTGCGAATTTAATTGTAAATGAAGGTTAATTATGCGAAATCTTCTTTACAATAATTAATATTCGACATGAAACAAACAAGTTATTTGGACCTGATTCTGTCAGTTGGATAAAGCTAATAGAGGAATTTACACCCTATACTCTCAAGTATATTTTATCTTGCATATTAACACCCAACTAATATTTATTTGCAAATATATAAAATCACTCAACATATTTGCACATATATTCAATCAAATCTGTCTATAAAAGTCCTTAAATTAATCAACCCTAACTATCACATCCATCACCCCAAATCGGGCCCTCCAATCACCACATAGACCCCATCTCACCATGGACACAGGATCAGAGCCCCACCAAAACGTGGCCCAGCTCCAATTGACACGACCGACGCCAACCAAAATCTTGTACCACCGAGGTCCGATAGCTACCGGCCTTGGTCGCCATCCACAACCACCAAGTCGACTTCACAGTCGTGCTGACCACAGCCGCCGGCAGACGCGTGGCACGGCAGCATCTCCGGCTCCTGCTCCAGGATCTTCTTCACCACGGCGAGATCTTGCTGTGTCATTTGGAATGCTGTGCCGAACGAGACGTCGTCGTCTTCGTCTTCCTCTTCTTGCTGCTCGTGTTCAGATGGGATTTGAGCCGACTGTGAAACGCCCATTGATAAGGGAGAAAGTGGATGATGGTGGATTGTTGCTTAAAAATTAGATCTCTAAGATCTATTTCACGAGAGGGAGAGAGAGCAAATTATTATGTTATTACAAACTGATTGAATGGAAATTGAAAACTGGGATTAGGCAAAAAGCTTTTGTATTGAGAGT